AGCAAAAGTTTAGCAAAATGCCAAAATGAAGCATATATTGATCAATTTCCTGAAATATTTCCAAAAATGGGGAAAAGTATTCATTCCTTTAAGTACAGTAATGTTTAATTGCATCCAATGAAAAAAGACCGTATGTCATTGAAAAAATTTTCATTAGCCATTTCAGTATTCAGAAAAATGTTTTAGGATTTTTTGTTTATAATTGTAGATTTTTGTATTAATAAATTTCTGCAAGCATTCAGGAGCTCTGTTTCTGTCAGGAGCTGTTAAATTTGGAAGTAAAAACAATTTTCGTAACATGTACATTTTTCTGCCAAGAAACATCTCACAAATATAATGTTTCATTCACAGTGATTTAAAACATTTTGAAATTTTAAGATAGAAATTTTTTTTTTTTTTGCAGCCTTTTTTTGATGTTATATATCATTAGTCACCGAGGACATAGTTTCATGTTTGTGATTTTTCCATGACCGTGTTTTAGGCAGTATAAAAGTATGTAAAAAATAGTAAAAAGCAAATATTTTACTTTATTGAGAATATTTCAATTATATTGATATGCTCCATCTTCCCCAAATCATCTCTAAATGGCTCTATATGTATGGTCCTTTGAGTGCACTGTATAAATATAAATATGTTTTCTCTGAATGAGTAAACCTACAGCGATTGATAAATAGCCATGAATTCAGTATCATTCAGGTTTTTCGTAATGGTGGCCACCCCTTACAATTTTTACGGACTCCTATTGAGAGTGAAGGAGGTAAACATGTGATGATATTCAATCTAAGAATAAATACCATTCAAAACTCCAGAGCATTAAAATTTTGTACATGAATTTGTTGTCATGATTTTATATTAAGAAATATACATATTTGATATTGATGCTCATGAGCAAGCACAGTGTATTCGTATGTGGCAGATGTTCACCCATATTTTCTGGAAGAATTAGGCAGTTATGAAAATTTATCAGAGCAGCATACATTTTGTTGATATGCCTGTGAGGACGCGATATGTATGTTTTATAAATGTGGAGAATAAGCAAAAAGTATGAGATAAACTGTTTAAATTATACGAGATTTGAATTATGGCATCTGTGCTATATCAAAGAAAGTTATTGAGAGTTCTTATTCTGCAGTATTTCTTTTCTTAAAAAAGAGAAATTTTGAATTTGAATACTTTTAATAGAAAGCAAGATTATAATTAGAAACATAATAATATCTTTAAAAACATCATCCCAGAAATGGAATTATCTTTTTGAATATATTCAGCTCTGACCTAAATATGACAGAACAAATATAATTAATTGGGATTGCATATGTACATATGACATCAAATTTAATTTAATTTCTTCTTTTCATCTGTAGTAGCCATGATAATTCACTCAGTAGAACATCAGAGTTTACAACCTCAGGTGAGATTCTGAGGGGTCTGGTTCAATCTCTGTGCAAGGTTGTGTCTTTGGCAAGACACTTTAACTCAGTTGCTCTGAATAACATGTTGCAGACCTCCTGCATGCTGTTCAGGGAGGTAGTCACCAGACCAGGAGTTCCCCTCATCAAAAGGACCCTGGCAGGTCATTGGGGCACTGTTAACTTTACTATGAATATCTTCAACTAATTCCCATTCACATATATGTAATATAAACAAAAAAGAGAGCCCAATGAACAGCTGGTAGGGAGCCCCTCTACCTACCTGTTGTACCTACTGGAAATACATCTTTTTTCATCACCAATGCCACAGATCTAAGTGCAGGATAGAGAGGAAAAAGAAGCAGGCTTTTCTGAGGATGTGTCGGAGAGCATCTCATGGTCAATTAGGTCTCCCTCTTCTGCCATCAACCAATCCAAGTGGAGAATGTTCTGTGATTGGTGTGGTGAGAGGCAGACTGATCCACTCAATTCTCCTGTTCTGGTGATCGGATTCTGTCAGAGAGCGCAATCTTATTCCCGTACCCATAGCTGGTTATGACTCTGCTTTAGCCAGCGTCTTTGCCTTTCATGGTAGAACATAGAGTCAGTCAGTTAGCCTCTCATTGGAATCTAGTTTTTGTGCTAGATTCTTTGACTAGAGCCCCTTTGAGCCTCTTGGGAATGCTTCTCTGAAGTTCCTCACCTTCAAGACAGTTTTTCTCATTGCCATGACTTCGGGTGCAGACGTAGTGAAGTTCATGCCTTGTCATGTCTTCCTTCTTGTCTTTGTTGATCTAGGGCTTATACTGCAGGATATCACTGCTCAGTCATTCTCTAGATGGATCTGTGAGGGAATTTGCTTTGCTTATGACCACTCCGATAAAGTGATCCGTGGGCGGTTCAAGGTTAGGGCTCTTGGTATGTCTTGGGCTCTCTTTTCAGGCTCTTCCTTTCAGGAGGTCATGTCAGTCACCTTCTGGGGAGGACAGACCATCTTGACTGATTTTCACTTGAGATCTTTGACTTTGTTCAAATTCAATCCTTGGGTATTATTTCAGCCGTTTTTACTGCCCTGTATTGGATTTGGTGCTGGGATGTGAGAGTCTCCTCTATGGCAAGACGAATTTGCATACTAAATATAAAGTTGTTATTACTGAAATGAAATTAATGTTTGTCATATAAAACCAATTTTCATGGTGTAATACTTAACATAACTATTCCCTCCTTCTTTTTGTTTCAGAATTCTTGCTTCCCTTTTCGTCTCTATCTTGCACTTTCTTCTCTGGTGTTACTGACAAAGAAGGACATTTATTCAGCTTTGAGTAAAAGTACATTGGGCAGGTAGAGGTGCTCCCTACAGGGGATTTATTGGATTCTCATTTTCGTTTACATTATATACAAATGAATGGGAATTAGTAGAAGATATCCATACTAAAGTTATGGTAAGTATTACATCATAAAAACTGGTTTTACAAGATAAACCTCAATTTTAATCTGAGGCACATTAATACAGATACATGTGACACAGTAAGAGGTCAAAGGTCAGTTTACTACCATGCTTAGAGGTATTTTAGTAACTAGTGAAGAAAGGGTAAACTTCCTAACATACCTGAGTTGACTTTCCTTTGTTTTGATTTTATTGGTTGACCAGTGGTCATTAACAGCAGTTGTCCTTTATCTGGTGGTCAGTATATGTTGTTCAGGTGAAGTAATAAATTTTGTACGATTACACAATGGCACCAAGTCATAAAATTGAAATGTTCTACTCTGGAAAATTGTCAAGATATTATCAGTGAAATCAGGATACATGGACAGCTGTGCAGGAGGTTATCTGGCAGAGAAGTTGTCTTAGATAATGAAATGAATTCAGCAGGTAGAACTATAGGTTATGATGATGGAGTAAACAGAATAAAGACAATGTGTTGTAGTAAAATGGTCACGTAAGTTAGTTAGATGATGTTTGAGTGTTATTCTACATACATTGGTCACTATACTCAGGTAAACACAATATAAAGTGCAGATGATTGGGTACTGACAGCACATTTACCTGGCAATGAGGGTTCTATTTTCTGAACACTCTGACAAAAAAGTTGTCACTCGCCTAACTACAAGGATTACCTGGTTTCCTGTCCTTTACCAGGAACCCTGGTACCCTGACTATTTTAATCTGTATCATCACAAGTGATTGATATAAGCTATTGATAATTTCATTTGATTGGACATAATGGTCACTTTATACAGGTGAACACTTTACACAGTTTCTTTTCTAGTATGATCTACTCGGGTAAACCGAATTTACTGGTCACTTTAGACAGGTGAACACTGGGCAGTGGTCCTAAACAGTTGTGGGAACCTGGATAGACGGACCATTTTACATCGGTAAACTTTATTATTTGTGTATCAAATCATTTGTAATACTGTGTTGGTTCTTGATGGAAATTTTACCAGGATTAGATTGTATGCAGAAGCTGGTCACACAGTACAGGTAACAGTAAATGACAGTTAGTTCATAGAGACAGGTAAATATAGAGAGTGGTCCCAAGGAACTTAACTATGAAAAAAACCAGGCCATTATACTCGGGTAAACTATGTAGTTTTTTATACAGGTCTTTACAGAAAAACACTCCATTATATGCAGATAATATACTTGGACAAATTTGACCTCTATATACAGGTAAATGTTTATCTAGATATCATTGTCCTCTCTAAGACTGGTGAAGTTTCTAAAGATAAACATAGGCTTTTATACATGATCGAATGATTTAAATAGGTCTAACATCTGATACAAGGCAATGTTTTTTAATTATGAACACTGGCCTCTATATACAAGTCATGTTCTCTTCTTCAAATACCAGAGAAACACCAGCTTTTATATATAAATATCTTATTAGGTACATCTGACCTCTATATACAGGTAATGTTTTTACAAATAAACACTGACCTTTCTGCAAAGTAAATTCTTTGGATTCATATGATCTTTTACGGATAGTTTCTCTAACCACTGGCCATTATACACAGGTAAACTAAAGACATCTCACCTCTAAATACTGGTGAAATTTACATAGATAAACACTGGCCATAATACACAGTGTACAAAGTAATTAGATACATCTCACCTCTATGTTTGAGTTTCTAAAAACTCTTGCCTCTGTTGACCTTTATACACAAGCAAATTATGTAAATACATATGCCCTCTATATTTAAATGGTTTCATATATACCCACTGGCCATTATACACAGGTTAACTATTTAGAAACATCTGACCTCAATATACAGGTAAAGTTTCTACAGATAAACACTGGCCATTATACAAAAGTGAATTACTTCTATACATGTGACATCAATGCACAAGTAAAATTTCTAAAAGATAAATATTGGCCTCTGTATACAGGGTAACACATACTGTCTAGAGTACACTACTATTTCATATAGAAGTTAGAAATGTCAGTCAAACCAACTGCACTGCCCACCTCTGACATGACTTCCCATTCTTTAAAGGGCCTACAGACTATCGCTGGGAGCTCCTCATAGTTCAGTGTAGTTTGCGGTGTAGCCTCTGTCGGCCTGACTGGCACTTTACATGTGCTAATAGTGGAGAAGTTTAATAGGTGGGTGCCTTGGCATGGGAGCCCATCACAGTGTTTAGGGACAGATGGAATAGTTTATTGGGCTTAGATTTTCAGCTGGTGTGTATATGTGTATGCTTTTCTTATTGAATTGATCTGCATAATGATTTTAAAGATTGTTTAACACCAAATCCTACTGATGGGAAAATTTGTATGCAGCCAGGGTGCACACCTGTGTTGAAGTCTAGTACTCGCTGTCTGGGTATTGAGGGGGAGCACCTTAAGAAGAAAACTCCGACTTTGGATATACTGAATACTTGACCAGTGGACAAGCAAAGGAGATTACAGTCCATTATACTTGTCCACGAGTGGATTTATGAAGTTCAGGAGCAGATGAAAAAGTGTTACAACTTCAAATACTCAAGGAGATTTGGGATATCTAGATTCTTACCAGCCTATCTGTTGTAGGTGAAGACAAGCACACGACAGGATCAAAATGGTATTAGTTTAAAGCTCAGTGTTTTAATACACTTTTCCAGAACACACTGACCTCACAGAGGAAATATGAATGTAAGTTAAATATAGTTGTGGTCATTTTTTTTCACCTGCGTTAAATTGAGACATCAGGTGTTTAAAAGCTAAACCGGCGCAGAGGATAATCATTTATATTACACTTGTGTTATCAGGGATCAATTTGACTGCAGGTTGGATATTGAATTTATATTCAAGTTAAATTAGAAAGAAAACATTTCTTATCACCGGAGTTTTACCTTGGAGGAATTTCTAACTATTTTTGGAGGATTGTACCTTTTCTGGAGTTTACCTGCAGAAAACAGGTGTTGGATGTGATCAAGGAAAGAAGACAAGGTAAGTACTACTTATGTATTTTAGTTTTTGTGACCGTATTTGTTCTGTTGGAGTGAAGTGGGGCAGTGATATATGTTCTGTATGCCATGCTCTCTGCTTTTGTCATTCGTGTCTTGCATAATGTATTTACCTGTGGTCTATAGGGCAGGCTAGAGGTGTTGATATGGTGTCTGAAGGTCTGCAGTATATTCTAACTATAATAGCTGAACCTAACTTTATCAAGGTTTGGTGATGAAGATGTTTCATGTGTGAGTATACAGTTTAGTAAGCAGTGATTGCAGAAATGATACTGGGCAGTTACCACAGGTACTTACCTCGTCTGACGAGACTGGTTCCTTTGGTGGAAACCATGCATAGATATACATACATTAATTTTTGTTTGATCGATTGATATCAACTTTTGACATAAAGAATAACAGCACAACAGTAATAATGTTCTGTGGAGTTCAACTCCGTAATCAAAAATACATAATGCTTTCAAGAGAAACTAATTGTTTCACATTTCTGTTTTAAATTGTGTTAAGTCATGATGATGATAAATCAGATGATTCTCCCGACAAAATCCCAAACCCATAAATTTTTATGTGAGTTCTCAATGATGTATTCTCATTTAGGAAAACATCAATTAAATTTTGACATGTTGGGTTACAATTTGAAATGGATGCTGAGATTTATTGTGGGATGGCAGTTGTAGATTTCTCTGATAATGCTTTTTAAGTTATTTCAATTTGTATGGAGACGGCAGTCTGTTTTGAGACTAGTAATTGAAGAGATGAGGAAACTAGAAGTTGTTGCTGTATCAGTTTACTGTAGCGATAGTTTTCAGAGAACCAATTTGGCGAAGACTATCAATAATCGACAGATAAGAGAATCATTTGGGTGCTTTTGTTTGGAGTTTATCTGGTCAAATGTTTGAGGTTTGCATAATTAGCTTTCAGAAAGAATCTGTGTATTTTTGTCTGCTAATCTTCGTTTGACGTTCCCTATGACGTGGCTATGCTAAGGGAGTGCATCTAGTCCACATCTGTTTGCCGTATATACGAAAAAGTTAATTATCAACCGTTTTCTGTTCTACCACCAACCATGTAGTTACCTAACTCTACTGGAGAATACAACATCATCTCCCTGTCCTTGTTATTCCCAAGTCTCTCGGCAGAACACCTGCTTGTTAATCATTCTCAGGTACATCAGAAATTTGTACAGCTTTTCTCTATAGGTTTAAGAGTCTTTATTACGCTAATGAAGGGCCAATACAGTAACCATATAAATTATACTCATGAAATTGATATTCTACCAAACTTATTTGGGTATGAAATGATGTAAAAGAGATAAAGTTATTATAAAAAGGTTTTACAGGAACTGAATAAGCTGTCATAGTTTGACAAGAGTCTAATATAATAATGTAAAATTGAAAGAATAAGGCTTTACATCTGCTGAATAAGTCATAGGTTGTTTATACCTAGCACTTAAATTAGTTAAATACTAATTTAATCTAAATAAGGGATAAACTGCAGTTGACAGGGCTTTCAATTGAATTGTAGGAATAATGTTTGAATAGCTTGGGCAAGAAATGTTGGAGAAATTTTTCATCATTTTTTTCCCCCGATGAATGTCTTGTGTATAACTTTGAAGATTAAAAAGACTTAATTAATACTATACAGGTTTGTTACTGTGTTGAATTATAGACTTGTACTGTCCATTCATACGTTACTCAGTCAGACAGAAGAATACAGTACAGTTGTACCCTACTTTGAATGCCTGTGGCAGTATTCATTCACAGCTGCACACTGACGTTTGTAAGCTAGACACATATTTTGGTGTGTTTTTTGACGACATGTGTTCCATTTCAGAGAACCTGCTCAGACTAAAAAATCTAACATGTAAAATATATGTTTTAGATACTTTTAAGTTACTAAATGTACAAATTGTCTGACAAATTTTGTTGCATTAGAATGAAAATTATTACACTGTAACTTGAGACAAGTTCATTTCCACACCTACTTGAGAATATGATGATAAGTAAATTTGGTGGTGGTCTCCCCTTCTGTAAGTCTTATTTCACATAGAGTTAATAGAATTCAGTAGCCCTTTTTAAGTCAACTCATTGGAAAAAAAATTAAAAACAAAAAATAATTATCAAATTTTAAATAAATAAAACATTTTGGTTTTGTATATGTACAGTATATACTCTGTATCGTAATCCCTTGTTATCTGTTAAAGTGCATGACTTAATGAATACGTCTTGAGTGTGGAAGGGCAAAATACATCAGCTGAGTTGCTCTAGAACTCTATTATTGGCTTTAGGGTTGTATCAAATAGTTGTACACAGCTTTCAGAATTCATTGTTGTAGATGCAAGCTTTGCCAGAAATCTAATATACCGCTGTTGCATGAAGGATCGTAAGCAATTGTTTATTTACTCTTGTGTTTTTTATCTACCTCCCTTCATCCTCATAATGTTCATGGTAATGACTTGTAGTCCCAGCAGTTTGTACTGATACACCTACAGTTCTCTCATCATGGTCTTGACATACAAACCAGCATTTTCTAAGACACATTCAGTCATACAACAGCGTCCTCTTTTAATCTGGTCCCAGTTGAATCTCTTCCAAGTCAAATTTTGTCTTTAATGATTTGACATGAATGGTTTAATCTCTTGTGGATGTCCCAGTTTAGTTCTAGTAATCTGCCTAGTCTGTTAATCTGGTCCTTTCTCTTTCTATTAATGGTCTGGTCTCATTAAATGGTCTTGTCTATTTGGTTTAACTTTCATTAGGTTCCTCCCATTAATTGGCCAAGTCTGTTAATATGGTTCATTTTTCTGTTGCTAATGGTCTGGTCCCCAGTTCTGTTTTTCTGCTCTCATTGGTCTGGCTCCAATAGAGCTGACATCCCATTAGTTGGTCTTACCTATTGGCCTGGTTTGGTCTAGTCTTTTAGGCAGGTCTTGTTTTCATTGGCTTGTTTAGTCTTCAATTTATGCCCATTTAGTCTGATTTATTGATCAGGTCTAAAATGAATGCCTTTAATGTAGACAGTTTGGTTCTTGCAACCCAAGATTCTTTGAAATTAAAGACTTATCTTGAACAGACACCATACAACCATGAAAATCTTGTCCAGGAGTACCTGGAGTTGCCTTAAGACCGTTGTCAGAGAATATACTTACCAGAGGAGATCTCTGTTTCTGAGTCATTTACACAGCAAGTCATGTTATAACTTAATATGTTGACAGTTTAATATACATACATTAGGTTGTGTGTTACCAAACCTTCATCAGGCCACTGTTAACGGAGCTATTTACCACACCATTGTGATGTACAGGTGAGACCAGGAGGTCATTAAAGAGTCATTTCAATTTTCCTCTTCTAGCAGCATTAACACTCTCATGAATCAGGGACTAGATCAAATTATGAGACGATGTCGCCAGCTTTTCAAATTTTCAGAATTATAGGTTTTCATTGTGGCTGTTTGTCCTTGTGTTCATCATTCTGCTAGTTTGTCCGGGTTCTATCAAATTGTCTTGTTTCAATGTGTCTTAGATCAGATGTCACACATGGGCTGAAGTTATGATTTTCATTAAAGAGAGCCCTGACAGCTGACTGTTTATCTGTCTCATAATCAGCTCAAGTTACAACATATATTGTAGAAATTTATTTTTATTTTACAACAGACAAATACATACTGATGATGATTGTAGCCAGACTCAGATTATCAAAAAACCAGTTATTGTAGACTTGTTGACCAATATTGAGACCAAAGAAACTGAAGTAGACCTTTATTAAGACATTTAGCAACCAGACAAGACCAATCTTGATATCGAGAAACTAACAAAGCTAGACCATTATTTGCAGCACAAAAACAAGTTTATCAAAAATGGGACAGAAGAAACCAGAACAGATCAATAATGGGACAGAAGAAACCAGACTAGATCAATAATGGGACAGAAGAAACCAGAGTAGATCAAATATTGGACAGAAGAAACCTGACTAGATCAAATATAGGACAGAAGAAACCAGAGTAGATCAAATATTGGACAGAAGAAACCTGACTAGATCAATAATGGGACAGAAGAAACCTGACTAGATCAATAATGGGACAGAAGAAACCTGACTAGATCAATAATGGGACAGAAGAAACCTGACTAGATCAATAATGGGACAGAAGAAACCAGAGAAGATCAATAATGGGACAGAAGAAACCTGACTAGATCAGTAATGGGACAGAAGAAACCAGAGTAGATCAATTATGGGACAGAAGAAACCTGAGTAGATCAAATATTGGACAGAAGAAACCTGACTAGATCAATAATGGGACAGAAGAAACCTGTCTAGATCAATAATGGGACAGAAGAAACCTGACTAGATCAATAATGGGACAGAAGAAACCAGAGTAGATCAAATATTGGACAGAAGAAACCTGACTAGATCAATAATGGGACAGAAGAAACCAGAGTAGATCAAATATTGGACAGAAGAAACCAGAGTAGATCAAATATAGGACAGAAGAAACCTGACTAGATCAATAATGGGACAGAAGAAACCTGACTAGATCAATAATGGGACAGAAGAAACCAGACTAGATCAATAATGGGACAGAAGAAACCTGACTAGATCAATAATGGGACAGAAGAAACCTGACTAGATCAATAATGGGACAGAAGAAACCTGACTAGATCAATAATGGGACAGAAGAAACCAGAGTAGATCAAATATTGGACAGAAGAAACCTGACTAGATCAATAATGGGACAGAAGAAACCAGAGTAGATCAAATATTGGACAGAAGAAACCAGAGTAGATCAAATATAGGACAGAAGAAACCTGACTAGATCAATAATGGGACAGAAGAAACCTGACTAGATCAATAATGGGACAGAAGAAACCAGAGTAGATCAATAATGGGACAGAAGAAACTTGACTAGATCAATAATGGGACAGAAGAAACCAGAGTAGATCAATAATGGGACAGAAGATACCAGAGTAGATCAAATATTGGACAGAAG